TTTTGACAACTGGTCAATGGAAAACAATTGACAGAACATTGATTAATTGAAATATTGTTTGGCTTAAACATAAACTTACTACAATTCATTGAATTGAGTGAGTATTGATTGATTGAACATTGATTGATTGAACATTGATTGATTGAATATTGAAACATTGATTGATTGAACATTGATTGATTGAATATTGATTGATTGATTGAATATTGATTGATATTATTGAAAATGGATTGATTCATTGGACTGAAACTTTTTGATTGATTCAACTGAATATTCATTAATTGATTGGATATTCATTAATTGAATTGATAAATTTATTGATTGATTGATTGATTGAACTTGATATTGATTGATTCAATTGAATATTGATTGATTGATTGAATATTGTTTTATAAGGCTGGCGCACCGCAAAATTTGGAAAGCAAACGCCAGTCTTATAGTGTAAAAAATGACATGTGTACAGTTAATATTGATTGATTGATTGATTGTTTGCTTTGATTGGAGGTGTGCCAAAAACCAATTGGGTCGGCACCCACTGAACACATGTATCTTAAATAATTGATCTGCAACCAGCCGTGGCCATATGATGCCAAACTTAATAAATAAATAATTAAGAAATGGTGTCACTTGTTTTTTAGTGGTAGTCTGTGATAATCGGATTTATGTAGTGAATGCGTTATAAATCCATTTATCACAGCGCCCCACGTGGAAGGATGCGCGCGCAATATATGCGCAAGCATTTGTACATTCCATTCTCACACCATTTCCAAATGTTGCACGTTTAGGGTTTGCTGTGAATTTTTAAGAAAATTTACCCGCCCTTCCACACCCCATATTACTTTGAGTTGTTTTCTGCGCCGAGTTCTTTTCATTTCAGAGAAAGAGGCCTAAGGAGCCAAGCTGTCAATCATTCTAAGACCTTGCCTTAGTCATGACCGGCCAAAGCTGCCATTCCTTGCCATACAGTGATGAATGCTATCGTGATGGACACTTCCAAGTACCAGAAGGAAGGACTTCGCTCACCCAATCGTATTGGCTTATTGACTCTAAACAGGGTGAAGCTGCAACACGATAACTATCGATCAAGGACTAGATAACACCCATCGTCACGGCTGGTCATCTTATTATGCGGACAGTATTGTCTCTGTAATTAACAGAGCGAAGAGCCAGTTGGAGAGATACATCGAATAGCGCTTAACACAAATCATCTTGACACGCGTCGCTGTTAACAGGGCGCAGCTGCAACTTGATTATGTGGATGACTTATCGATGGAAAACAATTAATTGACTTGATAATTAACACAGAACATTGATTAATTTATTGAAATATTGTTTGGCTTGAACATAAACTTACTACAATTCATTGAATTGAGTGAGTATTGATTGATTGAACATTGATTGATTGAACATTGATTGATTGAATATTGAAACATTGATTGATTGAACATTGATTGATTAAATATTGATTGATTGATTGAATATTGATTGATATTATTGAAAATGGATTGATTCATTGGACTGAAACTTTTTGATTGATTCAACTGAATATTCATTAATTGATTGGATATTCATTAATTGAATTGATAAATTTATTGATTGATTGATTGATTGAACTTGATATTGATTGATTCAATTGAATATTGATTGATTGATTGAATATTGTTTTATAAGGCTGGCGCACCGCAAAATTTGGAAAGCAAACGCCAGTCTTATAGTGTAAAAAATGACATGTGTACAGTTAATATTGATTGATTGATTGATTGTTTGCTTTGATTGGAGGTGTGCCAAAAACCAATTGGGTCGGCACCCACTGAACACATGTATCTTAAATAATTGATCTGCAACCAGCCGTGGCCATATGATGCCAAACTTAATAAATAAATAATTAAGAAATGGTGTCACTTGTTTTTTAGTGGTAGTCTGTGATAATTACTTGTGAAAAAAATGAATTGTTAAAAATTCAACCAAACAAACGTTCGATAGATATAACCCCATTATGGCATTTACCAGACCAGTAGCTCCATCAAGCGAGTATATCGAATACACTGTATGTACATTTGCAAATTAATAAACGGTTTAAAAAGAGTCAATCTCGACATAAAAAAAATGGTTTAGAAGAATATATCAATTAAAAAAAAAAAACAAACAAACAAACAAACAAACAAACAGATTAGACATGTATTATGAGGCCTGCAAAATAGCTGAACTGTTATGAAAATATTTATGGAAAAAAAGAACATGAACAAAATAATTGTCCTCTTCCTGAAATTATTATCGGTCTTTTAAAAATATTGCGTAGAACAATATAGTATGATATTCTGGTCTTATTCATGTCCTCGTTATGTCGCTTGCAAGGTCATACGTGATTCCGATCGACACTTAACAACAATAAAGAATCTCAACTACTATATACTTGGAATGTGCAAGGGGCGGTACTAACAAGCGGAAAGATAAAACGGGGTCAACATCACGAACGAAAACTAAAGCCCGGTTCGCTGTAGAAGACCCAGAGCTGACCTCGAACGGACGCACAGCAAACCCGGAGAGCACCGCGGACCCCGAGCGAACACAAAGCGAACCCGGGCTTCGCTTTTGGGGTTCGCTCTGGTGTTAGGTTGTGTCCGGTCGGTACTGTATATAAATATCGAGTTTAAGGTCTTGGTAAATGTTTCAATAAACTCTGCTTCACATGAATACAAAAATAGGTTGCTAATAAAGGGACGCATTTCGAACAAATGTGGATTCAGACAAATTGTTGAAAAAGTTTATCCCCAAAAACTAGAAAAAAATATTGTCAATCAGAATCTCAAGCATCTTTTTTTTGTGCATATTCAGTATTATTTTAACAAAAATAATATAGCAAATGGCCAATGACAAGGTAAGTAATTTTACGAGTTCCAATGTTACTGAAAAAAGCTGCTATCTGCCATGTCAAAAAATTGAATTTAATTTATCGGGTGGAATGGTTGAATAAACTGTTGAACATATTATATTGTGACTGTCTGACACAAAGCTACGTTTCCTTTTCACAAATATAAGAACGTATTTCCCAGCAACGTAAATCCAGCCACTCCCGCCCAGGATAAGTGACAGCAACGCAGTGCTCCTCTTGGTTGTAATTATTTGGTTCTTTCCACTTCCAGTTAGAAAAGGTGAGTTTATTTCTACTCCCATCCCATATAAAATTGCCATCAATTTCTTGGTCAGTAGCTCCAGTCCAAATAACACATGCTAGCCAATAGAGTGTACATTGTGCTACAAAATAAAATAATAAACACCGTGGAAAATGAAAAAAAAAACAATACGAGAGAGAGAGAGAGAGAGAGAGAGAGAGAGAGAGAGAGAGCACCCGCGTTTACCAACTTGTGGGGAACTCACACCTGACAAAGGACCTTTCTTATGGGGAAAGTTGAGAATTGTGGGGAAATCTCTCGTTCCCCACAAATATGGTCATGGGTATTTTTGGATTCTACGTAGTCTACTGATAAAATTTAATCGATTTGTTTTCATTTTCGAAAAAATCCCCATAAGTCGGTAAAATTAACCCACATTCTGTGTTCTCACTGCACCGTAAAACGAATGTCTGGGGATGCTGGGAAATGTTCATTCGGAATGCAGCGGGGTTTAAACTGGTCCCCCTAACATCGTAAACTTTCAAAGGCTAACAAGGAGCGGAAAACCAACTTATTGCGGGTAATGGCGGCTCCGAGGTGACAGTCATGTGGTAAGTAGTTAGATTTTTTATTATTGATTAGACTTACAACAGCCTGCTTAGCTTTAGACACGTAAATCATGCGTGAAGTAATGCATATAGTAGTACATGTAGTTCGTAGTAGAAAAGTAACATTTAAAACCATGTAGTGTAACGTGAAACTTTGGCCCACTTCAGACAGTGTCAGAGTCGTCGATTTTATTTTATAATGGAAACTGTTAATCCTGTTAAAAAAAAAATAATAAGAATTTATATTCAATACTTTACCCCCGGGATCTGTTAGGCGTTGGAAGGTTGTTCCTTTTTTTTTTTTTTTTTTTTTTTTTTTTTTTTTTTTTTTTGCAAATCATATGCCCATGTAGAAATATGTTTGATGGTGCGACCGTTAGCAGGTCCAGCACAATCAGTACATTTAGCTACGTAGCTAAAATTACCAACCGTAGCTTTATTTACCTACCTCAGGTAGCTTTATTCAGCTATTTCAAGGAAACTTTTCACAATTTTGCTTTTTATTTTAAAAAGACAAAAAACGGCAAGTAAAGAATCTGGGGGGATTAGCCGAGTCATATGCCTACGTAAGGATAGGTAAAATATCAATAAAAAATTTTCTTACAAATTCCATTTCTTGTTAAATTTATGAAATATTTATAACCATATGCATACAATATTGACAATACCTGAATCCAGTAACTAAGAAATTGATTGTAATCAACCCACCAAAATGGTAACACGCTTAAGTAACCGTAAAATTGATAGAAATTTAATGTTAAAAGTATTTTTTTAATATAGAGTGGGTCTTCGTACCATTTTTTTGTAAAGGAATAATGCAAGGGTATGGAAGGATGTATCGTTTACCACTTGCAAAAACCTGGTACGAAGACCCACTCTATATAAAAAAAATAGTTTACCAACTTAAATTTCGCAACATGTTCTCAAAAACTCTAAGTCCAATTGTGTGTTTGCTATATATAGAGAACTGTTTGCTATTTAAATGATAAAGTATGTGTGACTTCGTGGCTTAGTGGTCATCGAGGCTGTGTAGAAGCACACATTCATTGGTCGCGAGTGTTCGAATCATACTGTGATTTTTTTTTTTTTAGTTCAGGTTGAAATTTAGATCAGTATTATATATATTTTTTCAGTGGGAACAAAATAAAATATACGAAATAATGAAATCATTTACGGTCAATTAATATACATATATTTCCTATTACATATATGTTTTCAAAATAAGATTTTAAATGCATTCAGTTCGAGACTACATTACACGATTTAAATGTAAACAATCATGGGCCGACCAGCACGATATGGCTGTTCTGTATGCAAAAAACAGTTAAAAGGAAAGGTAAAGCGTACCATCTCCCAACCATTGAAAACATATTTGATACAACATGGATATAAACTAGGTGGAGAAAGTCAAATCTGTACCAAATGCAGAATAAATGCCAAGTCTATAGTACAGAGTGCGCCAAAAGATAGATCTAGATGTAGTATCCAACTTCCTTTTGTGTCGGCTGGAAATTCACATAACAAATGCGTATTTTGTAATGCAAGAAAAGGTATCGTAGTAGTACCAAAAGAGGCCAGAACAGATGCATTCATACACTTCCAATTACTTATACCTGTCGGATGCAAATGCTGTCGAAAGCATTTAATTGGGAAACAACTAAATAGAGATGTAAATGTTGACTTTACAAAATATAAGAGACAACATTCAGTGTTACCATCAAAAGAATTAAATGATTTACTTGAACGAGTACGTTTCAAAGCGCTGAGGTCTTATGACAGTAGTAGTCTCAGTTTTAATAAACTCTCCAATGATGAAGATTATATTTCTTTATTAGGCATTTCTAAAGCGAATTTCGATGACTTGGTTACAAATGTAACATCTATGAGAAATACAAAAATTCGAACAATAAGAAATGCAGTTGGTATCCTTCTATTCAAATTGAAATCTGGCTTATCAAATGGATTGCTGGCCACTCTTTGTGGATTTCGATGTAGGCGACAAGTGGCTGAAATCATTGAAAGTGCTCGAATAGCTATCGTAAAAGATTTTGTGCCCCATAACCTTGGTTTTGATCATATAACCAGAGAAAGTATCATAGAAAATCACACAACAGATATCTCAAAACAACTTTTTTCAGATCCTATTTCAAACACTGTCATATTAGTGCTAGATGGTACTTACATATATATACAAAAAAGTGCGTCGTACAAATTTCAACGACTCTCTTATTCTGTGCACAAAGGGAGACCCTTGGTAAAACCATTCCTGATAACAACAACCAGCGGTTACATCGTAGAGGTCTTCGGACCTTACTTAGCAAATGGTCGAAACAACGATGCCTCCATATTAAAGACTGTGATGAAAACAAATAAGGGCAATATAATGGATTTCCTCACCGAAAATGATGTGCTTGTGGTAGATAGGGGATTCCGTGACTCGACAGATTTTCTAAATGAATGCGGGTTTAAAACACAGATGCCAGTCTTTCTACCAAAATCTTGCAAACAACACAGTACAATCGAAGCAAATGCATCAAGAATGGTAACTAAAATACGGTGGGTGGTTGAGGCTGCCAACGGCAGACTTAAAAAATGGCGATTTTTGGATAATGTTGTCAGCAACTCAAACATTCCTTCAGTCGGTGACTTCGTAAGAATCGTGTGTTCTTTAATTAACAAATACAGACCACCTTTGAAAACAAATGATGTAAATGATTTTAATAATGGTTTTAAAATGTTAATGATGTCGAAGAACAATGAAAATGTCTTGAAAGAACTTGTTACTAAAGATTCCAATTACAGATACCGGACAAATTCAAAACTCTGGAAGAGTATCGACGCACGTGATGCTGCGATCAACTTCCCTGCCCTCTCCGAGGAAGATGTTAGACAACTAACATTTGGAACATATCAAATCCGGCAAGCAAATTCTTATATTAGAGAACATATTGATGAAACCGGCCAATACGCAATTGATGTGTCATATGTAGAATCTGACTTGATTCACTGTCGAATACAATCCAGACACACTAGCAGCACTCTTTATAATCTTTGGATTAGGTTCACTATATCAGCAGTGACCTCTTGGTACTGTCAGTGCAAGAGTGGTGCTAGAACTTTAGGGTGCTGTGCACACATCTGCAGTGTAATCTGGTATTTAGGTTATCATCGTCACCAGTGCAATAAAATCGAGAAAGACAGATACATGTCAAGTGTTGACGATGCTGGACAATACCAGACGGACAATGATGATGAATCAGAATAATAAGACAAAATAACATGCTACACTTCTTGACTTTGTATATATATATATATATATTTTTTTTTTTTTTTTTTTTTTTTTTTTTTTGAAAAAATTCTAGATAACTTTAACTTTGTTATTAACACCAACAAAAGCTCTCCTGTATCATAAAATATATACACTTACATAATCAAATATAAACATATATGTAACACTCAATTAATACACAGTCTGAAAGGTTTCACTTGTTAAACATTTTGTAACAATAACCGCAAGGTTTAAATTAACGATATCGACATTTGGACAGTCCTGTACAAAGTTTAAATGTCTAAGTAAATCGTACGACTATGAAATATCCGATATGCTGACAGAGCTACAAAACCAGCGTGGGCATATGACTCGGCTAATCCCCCCAGTTTCTTTCTACTAATATTCATTCTAGGTATTATTTAAAAAGCAATCTAAAGCAGAGATAGCTTTAACATTGCTGCGTTTGAACACTTTTAAGAAAAATATGTATTTCCATTGTTTGAGTAACTGTGCACCACCTTGTGTGCGATGAGGTGTGGATAAGTATGATTACTTCACATTGTGCTCATGTTAACCAAAACTGGTTTTCTTTGTTATTTCACTCAAGAAGTAACTGTTAGGTCACAAATTAACTGTTGTTCATAGCCCCAAAACCTTTAGAACTTTGATTGCAATTGCGCAGAAAAAGACACATCTCCATACTTGCCAACCTCCAACATGTAAAAATCTGGTCATGACCAGATTTGGAAAGTAAAAAATCTGGTCATATAACGCGTAATGACATTCATGACACATTTACCATGATTAAATTAAATATTTATGCATATATAAGCATTTGTGTATTGAGAATTATTTTATTAAAATGTGGCTTTAACTGAGAATGACAAAAATTTTATATATATTGATTAAATTTACATGTTAGAAGAGCATTTAAGGTTTCATTATTCAGTATATTGATCTGAATTAAGTGTGCATATTTTTTAAAGGAAAGTCTTTTCAGAATCTGCATTACTGATTTGAAGTACATGGAAAGTTAAATGTGCTAAATTTGAAAGTATTCCAATTTTGATTTTGAAGTTATTTTTCCTCGAATTAATTTAATTAACAAGTGCTATTAAATTTACAGTTATGTCTACACTATCTTCAAACACTTTATTTTATCTAATGAAAGTTGTTTTCCAAGATTCCTTGATATGTACATTATCATGAATATCGTTTCTCTTTTACTTGGTTCAATTTGTTCCTGCTGGCCCTGATAATGACCTCGTTCTATCGGAAGCCATTTTAAATTGACTTCAAACTTTGGTTTTTCAAAACAACTCTCAGGTAATTGTTTACACCTGCACTGATAATTCACTGGTACACGGCCTACTGAACATAGCCATCGGCATTGTTTACGTACTATATCCAAGCTTGGGTTGTAACTGGAAGTTAAAAGTGCAACCTAATTTATGAACCAAATCTGGAAATCAGGAAATTTTCGGGTTGTTCGGCAAAAATCGGGTGAAAAGCATGACCCGCCGTGTCATAAAAAATTATCGGGTTAAGGGTCGAAAAATCGGGTGTAACCCGACGAAATCGGGTGAGTTGGCACATTTCCAAGAGTCCGAAGGACCCGCAACTTTCACTTCAAAGTGCCAAGTGCATGGCAAAGGAACAGTTGCTACTCATTTTTTATCTATTTACGTCAGTCGTGGCTGAGATTTGAACTCAAGACCTCCCGATCACGGAACATGCACTCTACCGACTGAGCTACCTTGAACAGTCTAAAGCTAAGAGAAAATAAGCCTTTGGGAATTTTATTTCAAGAGATGACATACATTTCCTATTATAGAATTTTTGCTGTCTAATAATCATATTCTGGATGAAAGAATACCCAATTGAAAGATATTATTAATCACATATTACTTGAGATTCTGCCCAGAATATAACCTATAAAATCTAATTATTATCCAGATTCAATAAAAGGTGGTGCAATTGATATGATATATTCCATGAAAAGATATAAGTTTACCAGTACTAGTATTCAGGTGTGAAAAAAAATATTAGTCGATTGATAAATCTGTCTTTAATTTACTTGCTCTACCATGTCTACCAGTTGCAAAGTGTAGCAAGCTAAGTGGTAGAGCTTGTCGAAGCCACAAGCAGTTGGGGCATGGACCTCCTCCCCCCTTTTCCATTTTTTTTTCTTGATAAATCTGGGTTGACATCTTTTTCATATTTTTGTATTCTAATATGTTATTGATAAATGTAACTCTTTTGTCTCAATAAGCTGTTTTTAAATATCTTGTTTTCTACTGATACATAAAAAGAAAGAAAAAAATTAATATTCACTTTTATTTACAGATTGTGCCCTCCATAACTTACATGTATCCAAGTTTATAAAATTTTCCTAGCTCTTGAAGATCCCTGTTTTCTATTTGTTGTTGGGAGTTTGTTGTTACTAATTTATAAAGGAAAAAAAAATATCGGGAAACAGAGCAAAAAAAGTATTGATTTCTCAGAAAAAGGTGGGGGGCAGCCCCCTTGCCCCCTTCCACTCACATCATGTGTTTATGTACAAATGTATAACTTGTACAAATAAGAACAAAATTTGATTATCAAGTTCAGTAAAATATACTCGAATGTATCATTCAAATTACTCTTTTGACCTGTTCCCTTAAGTGTAAAGTCTGCAGTTCAAAGTCTGCATGTTGTCAGGTGTCTGAGATTCCGAAAATGTTCAAGAGTGGGAAAGGGCGCTATACCTCTTTGCATACTTCATAAAACAAGCGCCTATGAAAAGCACTACAGTAAAGCACAAACATGTTTAATGAATTGACGCTTACAATCCCAGTGACTTTAAATATATTATAAACTTAATACATATATGTAAAATAAATTATAACAAAGCATACTCATCTGTTTCTTACACTTCGATCAATATACATGTAAGCATGCTTCACTTTAGTTATAAATTTGCATCTAAAGAAGGTATTTCCTCTTCAGAACAAGTTATAAAAAAGCTTAAAGTCAGCATGATGATAAATCACTTATGGAACAATGATAAATAATTAAGGATTTAAGATATTTATTTCATTTATATACATGTGTTAGTATGGTAGTGTATGATACACAGCTTCTTTAATACTGGCTTGGGCTAGTGGGTTAAACTTGTACCTCAATTGCAAGGACTAACCTAGGGGGCGACTGAGGCGAAATAGTCGCTTTTGAGCTCCAAACTTCGCCTGATTTCTGCTTTTTCCTAGCCATAGTGCTCAGGTGAGCGATGTAGCCCCTGGGCCTCTTGTTTTTAAAAAGTTTAATAATGATCAATGTGTGCCACTCGCGTCAAGAAGTCTCCCTAGAATTTAAAACTTCTCCCTTATACATTTCTCTGAGGGAGAAGTGAAGTCTCCCTAAATTTTGGGTCTAGGTTGGTCCCTGAATTGATAGAACACTGGACTGACATGCCAGAGATGGGTTCAAATTCAGTCATTCAAAGACACAAAATTATGTCTCTAGACTAGTAGTGTTATAATCTTATATATAAATATTGCTTTTTTAAAGGGTAGAGGTGAGATGATATACTGATAAACCAATACATACCAATATTTTCTGCTAAGATACGGTTTATGATATATGCATTGAAATATCAGTATGAAACGATACATGAACAACCTATCAAAAAATTGAAAATGGCTGCTTTTACCAAGTGAAGAGATGATATTGGTATTGTAAACGCTCTTTACAACTAATAAGTCATAAATAAGAGGGAAAACATTTTCACTCTTGAGCATCCTCGGAAGACGGTTAGGTACTGTACATAGAAAAGTTCAGTTTGTAAAGCATCAGAAAGTATCGTTTCCACAACAGTTAATATTATTAGTTAGTGTCCATCTGCACTAACAGCCAGTAACAAAGCATGGATTCTCAAATTTCATTAAAAAGAATTTGAAATTTTGAAACAAATTGGAAATTACCCTTACTGGAGAAATTGGGAAAATCAGCCGGGGTCTTGGGGCCACTGTCACTGGACAAGCCCTGCTGGGGGGCCCAATTTCAGCTTTTTAATGACCAGTTAGAGTGCATAAAATAGCAAAGTAAACCATTTTTCACATAGTCTGAAAATTTTTATAAAAGAAAAAAAAAATATTTGTGTTTTTCATTATTGTAAGGGGAATTTTGTACTCATCAAAAGGGGAAAATGGGATATTAAGGGAAATTTTCTCTTGAGGACAAATAAGTCAGAATATCGGTAGTAAATATGCCCTAGAATATTGTTTTGTAAATTTTTAGTCAACGAAATTGATGAACTTCAAGTATCAGTTTCAAAGCACATTTGATTTGGTTTGTTTATTGTTTAACGTCCTTCTGGAGAATTTTTCACTCATATGGAGACGCCACCACTTGCCGGTGGAGAGCTGCAAATTTTGACCTATGCTTGGCACTCATTGCCATTGAGCAGTGAGGGATCTTTTTCGTGCCAGCACCTACTGCGACACGGGACCTTGGTTGATATGGTCTCATCTGAAGGACCGGTTTCCACGTCCCACAGTGGGATTCGAACCTGCGAAGTAAGGATCAACTCCTTACTCCGAAACTCTAGAGCAAACGCTCTAACCACTGTGCCACGTGGGCGACCACATTTGGTTTGATATAGAGTGATATAGAATCTTGATTTATTGTCAAGTAGACAAATATTGAAATAAAATACAAAATTTTTGTGTCACCTGCAGAGCAGAGCGGCACTAAGAGATCATTTTACCAGGTGTCTGTCTGTCCGTCTGTCACACCCTATATCTCAAGATCTGTAAGAGGTATGGATTTGATATTTTGCACATATATTGCTTGGCACTATGGCTTTTGTAAATTACCACGGTTACCGACCTCTTGACCTTTGACTTACTTTTCAAAATAGTTCATAGGGCCGATTTACAGCATATTTTTGACATTTAAAAGGTATTTCTATGCCATTTAACATGTGTACTGTTTGTTGTAACACAATATGAAAA